TACCATTGACATTTTATTAAACTTCATCGATTTGTTTTCATCTTCAGTCTGCATTATCCGTTTAACTGTGTTACAGTGGAGAAAACGTTAAATGAAAAAATTGACTTGTAAAAATAATTTGTTACGTTGATCCTGACGTGGTCTTTGTTTCTTAATTTCCTTCGATGCACAGTATTTAGTTAATAAAAGATTAAAAACTAAGGAAAAGTTACTGGATGGAACTATTCTTAATTAAGGAAGATGATCGAACGGAAAACCTATGCCGCTCTCGTACAATAATGAAATCTTGCGACAATTGACATTATTTCAATTGACGAGTCTCAATAATAGCAGACATCAGCATGGAACATTTGAAATCATTAAATGACTACATTGATAGCAGAGCCATCGATCCTTTAATATATATCTAAATATATTATACATGAACAAGTGATGTAAACTTTCGTGTTCACTTTATGTGTTCGTGGAATCGAGTTAAATTTTAACTGAAGATGCAGAATGTTTTACCGTCGTTTCGCCTTGTGAAAAATTATAACGAGCTACTTTGTTTATTCCAGATTTTTTTGCGAACGCGAAAGAAACGAAAATACAAGTATTAAAATACGTGAATATTTATCGTGTTCGAATTATGCGGCGAGAAACTTGTTAAAACGCATTGTACGAATGATTTATCGATATTTTTGCGCAGTTCGATGACCCCGCGAGACGTTGAAAAACAAATTACGAAATCGAGTACCACCGTCGAGAAAGCAGTATAGTACTGCAATACGGATGATCACCGTGTTAATTGTAAGACGAGACTGCACGACGAACCTATTCTAAGGTTCTGGTTATACTCTATGGTTTGGCTTATTGGCGTACGGCTAACCACAAGCTTGTATTTTTCTTTTTTTTTCTTTTTTTTTTTTTTTTTTTTTTTTTTTTTTTTTTTTTTTTTTTTTTTCATAGAGATAATGCAAACCCGAGCAACATTCGTCTCCGTTTTCTCAGAAGAGAGTTGCCGCTCAAGTACAAGTTTGCAATCAAGAAAATTGTTTTATAATTTACACCGTGAGGCAACTTGATCTCTTCTCGAGAGATCGAGGCGCGTATAAACTCCCTCCCCCTCACGGAATTTCCATCGATCTTTTTTCTCGCTTTTCTTTCTTTTTATTCTCCTTCTTCTTTCAAAAAATTCGACACGACAAATTTGCCCGTCCCGAGCGTCTGTAAGTTAAAGACATAACTGACGTTGTCCCTCTCTTTCAGCTGTTTTTCATTCTGAGGAAGAAGAACCAACACGTGTCGACGCTCCACGTGATCCACCATGGAATAATGCCGTTCTCGGTTTGGATGGGCTTGAAGTTCGCACCGGGTGGCCACAGCACTTTCTTCGCTCTCTTGAACACTTTCGTACACATTATAATGTACTTCTACTACATGGTGTCTGCAATGGGTCCCGAATATCAGAAGTACATCTGGTGGAAAAAGTACCTGACTAGCTTGCAAATGGTAAAAGACCCACTATTAACGTTAAACGACGATAATCCGACAATTCTCCAATTTCCTCTGTAACGTGGTTTAAGGGGGATCTCTTTCGTATTTCATCTTTTTTTTCCTTTTTCTCTTTTTTTTTTAGGTGCAATTCGTGTTGATCATGAGTCACCAGTTCCAGCTTCTGTTCACCGAGTGCGATTATCCTCGTGGCTTCATGATCTGGATCGGTTTGCACGGCGTGCTTTTCTTAGGTCTTTTCTCGGACTTTTACAAAGCGAAATACGTGGACAGAAGCAAGAAACTAAAGGAGAAGAGTTTACAGAATGGCTCGTCCGGTCTTTGTATGCCTATATTAGAGGATTCAGTGCCACGGCAAAACGGTGTCTCGTCGTATGCGACGATCTACAACAAGGAGTACAATAGTTGTTACAGCAACGGAACCAACAACGGCTACGTTGCCAACAACAACACGGAGAAGAAGATCGCTTAGAATAATCTGATTTTGGTGAAGGCTCGTAAAAAAAGAAAAAGAAAAAAAAAAGAAAGATAGAATACCACTGAGATACCAAATCACACGATACAAGTTAATCACGCGTTGAATCTCGTCGATACTTTCGAAAAGATCGTGCAGTGACTTCGTACGTAACATATTGTTGATCGATTTAACACGAGTAGTGACTACACACGGTTCCACAGAAAGAGATCAACCTATTCCTCCTGATATCCGATGTGGCCGATACGCGAGAAATATAAAAACTATGCTAGTTTGTAATTCGCCGCGAAGTCTGTGTTCATGTTCATGCGGTAGAGTCGTCGACGGGAGAGACCAGTTGCGCATACGTTTGATTTCTTGCTAACGCTTTAAATTATTTCATATTACCCTAGATTAATGGGGGAGTGGCGATTACGTTTTATCAAAATAGTTTATATATGGGAATAATATAAGGGGTGTATTTAAGACTTATTACTGATAATATATTATTAAAGGGACTTACATTGTTTGTGTATTGTGTAACCGCGTCCGCAACCGGATTGTGGATGGTCCCGCTGAAAATCATATGATGGCTCGTCGATGGCTTTACGGAGGGGAAGCATAAACGAACGTGAAGAACGACCGGGGAATGCGAAAAGACCTGAGTAAATGAAACGGACAAAATTAAAACGCGCACACGATGAGAGTAAATTAATAATCGAGCCTCATCGAAACATTATGTTTCCCGCACGCGATCGCCGTGGGTGTTTCATTGCGTGCGTTATTGTATGCGTGAACGAGTGTGATCGTTTGTTAATTGTACGTGATTACGAGGCATTTCTTATCGGGACGCATCGAAACGATCCCCTTTACCATATTTCCTTATCGTCGTCTGACTCTGTCTCTCTATTGCCCCGATTGTGTTCAAAGCTTTGGTGTTCGTCGTAGAAGTAAGCGTCTGTCGATTCGCATTTATAAAAGGAGAGATCGGTACCACTCCTTTCCTCTCGAAGCTTGATTCTCCTACTTTCTCTCTCATTGAGAAGATTTGTCGATTGTAAATCAACCCAGGCAAAAAGACGGTAGCTTTTTTGAAAAAAGACGCAACGCTCGAATAGCTTTTTTTACTGCTTACGATCAAGCAACGCAATATAATATAATAATTCAATGGAATATTCGATGAAACTGAAGCAGAATATTTCAGCTGTCGACGCAGAATCAAGCTTCTGAAGAGTTTTAGAAATTCTCGACGAAATTTATATCTTGTTCACCGTTCGAACTGGTCAAATTGGTCAAAAAAA